TGGCTCAGTGGTTAAGAGCACTGACTGCTCTTGCAGAGGACCCGGGTTCGATTTCCAGCACCCACATGGCGGCTATGAACTGTCCTTAACTCGAGTTCCAGGAGAATCCGAAGCCCTCTTCTGACCTCCATGGCATTGCACGACATGGGTGCACTCACATGCATGCAGGCAATACACTCATACACATAAAATAAAAATAATATTTTTTTAAAAAAGATCAGAAACTGGATAAAACATTGTCAAGTACTTCAAAGTACCCAAACCCCTCCTTTTGCAGCTCACTCCCATTAAAACCTCAAAGGTCTTTCCCCAAACCTCATTGGTTCTATTTCCCTCTCTTACCTGCCCTTGAAAGATAAGTGTGCCCAAGGGCTCCCTAGAAAGGCTCCCAAAAGATACTGCAAGACCGTGAGGCTGTTATAATCTAAAACAAAATAATGGTATGTTCCTACGGGATAAGGTACAAAGGCCTAAAAAGCCTTACTGTTTCCTAGGAAAGGCAGTTGTGGTTTATAAGAAGGGAACTTCCAAATGTGCTGCATACTTCAACAATCCCACGTTTCCTACTTCTCCTTCCTGACATGGCTGATTTGAAGGATTACTTCTGTCATGTTCTGTGTATATCTTTGTAAGCCTGCCAGCCTTCCTCAATCTATAGCCAAAAGAATACATGTCTGAAAGTGAGAAATAATTCAATACCCAATGCAATATTATTTTCCATTGAAGCAATACAGGCAGCAGTATGAGAATGGTCACGGCTCAGAACGTCAAAGTTGTCTTCTTGTACCATCACTTTCCTTTAGCTCCCAAACCCTATTGTCGTAAGATCCTAAGGTCTAAGCCAAGAGATACCCAACAATACTTGCCTGCCTCAAGACACCTGCTAAAGTATATTTTGCTGATTAATCAGGAAAAAGGAAAGCTGTTCAACCAGTGCTAAAAAAAAAAAGGGGGGGGGTAATCTGGGGAGTATATAAATAAGCCTTTGATCAAAACCTGGTTTTCCAGGACAAACAGTCTGGGCCAGTTTCTGTGAGAATTGACCAAGAGCTAAACCCTGAAGTCTTTCACAATCACTCCTTTGTAAAACTGTCTATTAAAAAAATTAACAAAAATTTGTCTTATTTCAACAGGGAAATTTTCATTCAAGTTCAACCAATCTCCTTTAACCTTTGTTGCCGAAAAGGACCTTGGGTCTAGGTGGCTATAATACCAAAGAAATCTGACAGGTGGTAACCACAGAGTTGGAGTTATAATTTGAAATGTCACAACACTCAGCCTCTAGAGAATTGCTAGACCTATTATATACACACTGGCTGCCAGTGATATTTCTCACTGGGCTCTCTGCCAGAACCCTTCTCTGAGCCATCTTCCCCCAGTGTACAGAAATCACAACGCTCTACCAGAGAAGATGCCTGTCCTTACACGCTTGACACCTGTGCCACCAGCTTAAGGTACAAAACCCAACTACTTTTTGGGGTGAAAGTGGGAAAAGATATCGCCTCGACAATGAGTTATTTTCCTTCTCTGCTTACCTGAAGACTCAAGATTAATTCTTACCAGGTG